ATTCTCTTCCCCACTTAATGGATTTGGGGCCTTTGTCAAAGATCAGCTGACTATAGGTCGATGGATCTATATCTGGGTTCTCAATTCTATTCTTTTTCCATGATAGACCATATGTTAGGCCATAAAGCAAGGCTTCATAAATTTAAAAACATTGAAATATTGGGAACAGTTACTTTTAAAGTATGTGGCTGTGGAGTGAAGCAAATATTTCTCTTTTTCTTAGAGCAGGCAAGGATTGACAGATATGACTAGATTTATGAGTTTGGTGCATGCGTCTGGTCAAGTACTGTACTGGGATCAGGTTCAGGAATAATGATGAAAATGAGGTTACTTGTAAACTATCGTGAAAAGCCTGGGAGTGGGATGGTGGTAATACTGGTTATCTGCTGTGTGCTGGGCACTTGGCTAAGCCCCTCATATTCATCACCTGTAATGTGGCAGAGATTGGATTTAAACCCAGGTCTGTGTATTGCTTCTGCATTACTGTATTAATTATATTTAATTCATTCCAAATTGATTTGATCAGAAATAAAACTTGAATTATTTTGGCTTTTATTTAAGTTTTATCCGTGAAGTACCTTATGTATTATACTGTTTATCTTTGTCTTTACTAAAATCTATTCACATCAAGACTATTTTTTAGTTTATTTCCAATCAGAATGATATGTTACTACCTTTTAGGAGTGAGTTTCTAAGAATTTCTTCCCTACTTTGTACTTTAGCTAACAATCAAATTAGAACTGATTTATACTAGGAACCCTGCCCATATTATAATTTTTTCACTTATTTTCTGGTAGGTACCAAGAGTCCTCAGGTTTGCATATACCCTTGTTGTTGTTGTTGTTGTTATGTGCTGTTGAGTTGGACCCGACTCATAGCGACCCCTCCTTGGGTCTCCGAGACAGTAACACTATGGAAGTAGATTGCCCCATCTTCCTTCCGGGGAGTGGCTGGTGGGTTTGAACCACCAGCCTTCTGGTTAGCAATCAAGTGCCTTAGGCACGATGCTACCAGAGCTTCTGCTTATACCCTTAGGCTATGGCTTTTTATCTTTTAGATTTTTTTGGTCTTTCCATGGATTCATTTAAAATTATGATAATTTCTGTACATTTTTCAAAGTTAGAATTCTGTGACATATATTAAATATGGCAGCATATGAAATCGTTCATTTTCACAAAATTGTTGATGAAATAATTACAGTATGTTGTATGATGAAATAGAGTATTCTTATTGATATCTAGTTTAAAATGAAATATTTCTTTTTACATAAAATTTAATAAAATGAATATAGCATTCTTGTTATTAGAAGCATAAGTATTCAAACGAAAGAATGCATACTCTTACATTTGGACGTGGGGAGGGCGGTGCTTGTTTGCTGGTGTCTGATGCTTCTTGAGGCAGTGTACTCCCATGGTCACTAGGCTTCTTTCCAGGTTGTATTTTCACTCTGACCTAAGAATGTTTGTGCGAGGATATGGTTCATTAGTCCATGATCTGCAGAAACACAGATTTGGATGTCATGGTGCGTAAGGTTCTTTAAAATAGTGAAGCACTGCTTTAGCCTCTGGGAAGAACCAGAGGATGTCCACTTAACTGCTTTCTCCCCTACTCTATCCTCTTTTTCTAAATCAGGTTTAGGGGAGGCCCCTTTATTCTGGTTTCTGGGCTCATCTGTTAGCCTTTCTTAGTTTCACTTGTCTACCTATCCAGCCTATATAGCACCCTAGAATTT